AGGCTTTAAAATAGGGAGAACGTATCATATGCTCCATGAAAGTATTAAGAATTCCCGCTATTTTGTTTTAAATCATTGTAAACTTCAGGTTGAAACTAATAACTTCAATTTAATGTCTTTTTAGAATTCTGAATTGCGGCGGGTAATGGGTTAAGGAACTCAAAGATCGCAGGCCACGTAATAAGATTAATGGCAACTTTGACTACAGAGATAAGATCTTCTTCGTTCAACGGTATGCAACCTCATCATTTCGAGGATGTTATTGTAAACAATTATAGGTATCGATCTTATAAGAAACATGTCCCGGGAATCGGAGCTCCGCTTCGTCTAACAATTACACCATTAACAACAAACTGGAACTAATCCTGCTAAGGAGGCGGAACGTCCTCGAGAGGCAAGTAATAGCTCCCGAGGACTTAAGTTAGGCCGCAAAGTGGTAACGAGAATTGTCTGTTAGCATACCCTTGAGTCTGCATTCGATGAGATGCAGGGTCTTTGAAATGAATGCACGTTGCTGTCTCACACTTTAGGCATTCAAACACTAATTATATCACAGCGATATGATGTATTATATTAAATGGGCAAGCGAAGCGCGGTAAACACGTGCGTGATTATCGGCCGCCATTTTGGTACCAAGATCGAGTGCAACGGCAATAGCGGTGGAGTTGCGAAGCTACTTTTCTGTTTCATTACGACGACTTAATTTCGCGTTGACGATCCTAAGAAGAGAAAAGTTTAACAATTTTTTTTGAACGATTTAAATAATAATAATAATAATAACATGCGTGATATGCATCGGTCACATATACATAGATGATGCTAATTGTTGACTATTTTAACAAATTCAGTTTTGTTGTACTATTTTCGAACGATCTCAATTTTCCTAGGATGTTTAGCATGCAAAAGAGTTAAAATACCATCAAGTATGATAAAATTTTACTTTCTGGTTTCAGTATCGTTAATCAAAGTACAGTAATTTCTCCCGGAAATGTCAAATTTCGGGTTGCTGTGAATTTCCCTGTGCTAATCGCACGCCTATGTAATTTATTACTACGTCGATGCTAAGGATCGACAAAGTCGGTCAAGCATTATTCATGTCATTATTCATCCTGTCCGAATTATCGAAAAATGTGAATTTGGTATTCGTATAAAACAAGTTATTATAAAAATATTTCCTAATATTACATGTAATCCGTGAAATTCCGAAGCTATAAAAATGATTGATCCATAAATTCCATCGTTGAAAAAAAAAAATAGAGCTTCATAGTATTCAATCATTTGAAGATATGAAAAATAACAAGCTAATATAATTGTAAAAAATAAAAATATATGAGTTTTTTTTTATTATTTAGTATCAAGTGGTGTCTTCATGTAATAGTAAAAAAAAGACCTGAAGAAATAAGAATAATTGTATTTAAATAGAATGTCATAAGGGTTAAATATAACAATATTTTTAGGTCATATAAATCAAATTTCAATATTAGGAGAAATTGAGTAATGAATAATGCTCATGACATGATGTCAATCATCCTTCGAATCATGTCATGTGGCCTCCGAATTGCCTTCGAATCGTGGCATATGGCCTCCGAATTGCCTTCGAATCATGGCAAAAAATTAGAAATAAAATAATTAAGTCATTGTTTTTATTCTAACAATAATATTTCCAATAACTTCTCCCTAATTCGCACTTAGATTGTGCACAAAAATGGATAATTTGGAAACAGGAGATACGATTTTTCCAACCTTGTGGCTCACTTTTATAGTTACCAATTGTCAACAACTATAAAAACGAACCAGAAGGCTCGAATAATCGTATCTCCTCTTCCCAAACTATCCACTTTTGTGCGCAATCTGAGCGCGAATTAGGGAGGAATTACTGTACTCATTAATTCCTATAAAAACGAGCCACGGAGAATCGCGACTTCGTATTCTCAGATTTGCCAGTTTCAATTCCGACTTCCGAACATTTCTGAGAGAAATTACTGTACTAAGAATTTTCTACGAATTTTTGCGTTTGCGTTGCGGTACTTAATGTGTTAACAAATTTACTTAAAATCACTTAACAAACAACGAATAAAATTGGGAAACATATCAGGCTAGCACAGCTAACCCCGTAAGGAATCGACCGCATTAAGCGAAGCGCAGAGTTTGAAATAATAACTTTATCCTCCATAAATTTCGGCGGGGCCGGGTAAAAACTGCGTGTGGCTTGTTAAACGATTGTCCGATCGTCGGACACAATTTTACGTGAGGACTTTTGACCGCGTATGGGATCGAAATACCCGAGAGCCCGGCGATCCGCTCGTTTTAACAAACGCGAGGCCCCCTGTGTTTTAACCGGGAGCAACCGAGCGTGCTCGTCTCTTGCCTCGGAAAGGGTAAATATTGGAGCTCGATATTAATTTCCGTTCTAACTTGAAACTGTTCCGGCCGAGTATACGCGGATGAATCTCGTTACCGTACCTCGCTCGAGAGCGCCCGATCCAAGGTAAACGAAGGTTGCGCCGGAACGTCCGCGTACTAGAAAGCGAGTACAAAAATACCGAGCTCGCGTGCCCACACGTTTTCGAGTGGGCCAGCCGATGTACATCGACGCTCGATAGCGACCAGCACGATTGCCGTTCGATAATTAACACGTTAATTAACGCGCGGCGTCAGTCCCCTGGGGTTGACAGAGAACTTTCGCGTCAGTCATCTTGGATTAACAGTGTATGTACTACTTTTTGGGCGTCGTCAGGTCCCAGGGACCGACAGTGAACCTGTCGTTTGGGCGGCATCGGCGCATGGGACCGGCTTTATCGAGGTTAAAAAATAACGTCGACCTGCCGCCTCGACGGAAAACCCAGAAAAATCGGCTCCGCGCTTAAAGTGTTAAGCGATAAGATCCCTCGAGAACGACCCGAGGTCCGTCGGCGATCGACGATGTTCACGGTGTCGCAGATTTCCTTCCAAAAATGAAAAGAATCGCAGAAATGGAGCGGCTAACGAGAGTGCCCCGCGCGCGCCCCGAGCTCTGGGAACGAGATTTCCTCGGAACGTAAATAAGGATGGCGGGAAAAAAGACCGGATAAAAAGTAACGGCGTTGTCGTCCATTGGATCGTACTTACGAACGGCTGCGACGAAGGACGATCTAATAGCGCGCCGCGGGCCCGAGAGGGAGAGAGAGAGAGACCGGCAAAGAGAGACGTTTATTGCGCGTTGAACCGTGTCGACTTAGCGTACCAAGCAAAGTGAAACCTCCACAAAAAGTCGAAAGAAAAAGCGAACGTGACGAGGGTCAGTAGGGCCTCGTATGCACGTCAACACCGCGGGAAAATGCAGGCGCAACACCCAGTCGGGAAAGTATTCGGTGAACGAGATGGGTGGGAACGGTCTGGTGCCGGCTCGATAGCTGATGTTTCAAAGCCGCTAACTGCGAAATGAGGCGTGCAGAAATGGATAAAGTGCTCCGCATTCGAAGATATCACGCGGAAGGAATGCGGGTCGGATTGGCTGTTGTGTCAGCGAATCGGATTATCAACAAGCAGGATCTCCTCTTGACGGAGAACAGTATTTTACTATAAAAACGATCCTAGCCTTAATCCGCCGAAGCATCGTTCCGTTACGTAGATGTTTCTTTACTCGATGTTCGGCTGAGATTGGAAAGATGCATACACGTTCGGAAGCGCGGCGACAGTGACGCGGTCAAAAAACGAAAGCGTCTCGTTCTGTCCCTTCGCGTTAAATCGATACAACGATAAACAATCTATGCGACGGAAAGATAAATGGCTGAATTCCCGAGCCGCTTCATTGAGTGCGGAACACCGCGATAAGATGAGATAAAATTAAAATAAAATTGCAAGCATTGATCGCGAGCAACAATGTTGTTTGCAGAGAATAGAATGATTTTCAAGAAGCGGAGTGTACCGTGCGTCGATTTTGCACGAAGCGTCGATCGCGCCTCGTCCGATAAATCAGGGTTAAATAGAGACCGCGTGTCCATTGAACGGCATTAACATTCCGACTGATAAAGAAAGCACCCATGCCTAATGATCGATCGAACTCGCATTCCATCGCAACCATCTTTCTATCTCTGCATACCGCAGCAATGCCCGACCAATTGTCATAACTATCGCATTTTCAGCCTAGTTAGTTGTCGCTTTCTATCCCCACCGACCTCCCAGGCCTGGCGTGACTATCGGAGCAAGTCTTATATTTATAGTAAATAAACTTTCTACGTCATTCGCTCTGGACGGGTCTTTATCCCCTAAGCGATCCAAAGGCTAACGACTCGGAGGCAAGCTGTATCCTGAGATACGATAACTCACACGTATGTCCGCGTTCCTACCAGACATGTAATTTCTGTAGTTAAATTAATTAATCATAGGTCGCTCTTCGAGAGTGCAACACAGACACGTGGTATCGTTGTTCGTTCATTGTCACCTTAGGCAACGGTCCTGTCAGCGGTGACTTATGATCGCGACCTAGATTAGTAGTATTTCGGATGACACCGTATCCTATCCAAAGCGGTTGCTCGAAGACAATTTCATCGATTCGCAGGAAAGGTTTTCGGAAAGCCGGCGAACGTGTCATCGTCGTAGGACGGAATCTGATCGGCAATGGGACCAAGTTCACCAGTCTGCAGCGACGAGAAGGCGCAAGAGCGAGGGGACGCCGCGAGTCGGCCGGTACCAAGGAACGAAGCGGGATGGATAGAGGCGTTTGAGAGAGGGAGAGATCGAGGGAAAATGTATCGAGGCAGGTCGGAGGAAGAAAGAGAGTAGCACGCGTGCGGTTCCTCGGTTGTTAGGTCGTCGTTACACAGGTTCTTAAAGGTCCCGTGCGTGGTCTGGCCGTATGGGAGTCCGGTTGTGTGTCTGTCGGGTCTCTCGGTGTTGTGCGGAGAACTATAGTGTTTGGAGGCGCGCGGGGGTTCCCGGTGTGTCTCCGGTTCGTACGGTGCGCGCGCAGAGCCTCGACCGGCGTCCGACAGGAGTCGCTGGCTCTGTGGCCGGCCTCGGGCTGCTCGAGCGGGCCGTTCAGTCTAATTTGAACCGTCGCGCGCGCCCGACGCGGGGCCACCGACAATCCCTTCTCCGCCTCGACGTGACACGAGGCTCCTCGTGCATGCCGCGTGCAACACACGCGCCGATCCCCCGCACGATATTATCCGCACGCGTGCACCAGCACCAGCAGCACCAGCAGCACCAGCAACACCAGCAGCACCAGCACCAACAGCAGCGGCAGAGGCAGCGACAGTAGCAGCGGTGGTAGCGGCAGTAGGACCGAGCGAGGAGAGCAACAGCGCAACCAGTATCGCCGCTATCGTGGAATCGGTAACGCGCTGGAAGCGGACGGTCGTCAGTCTTCTCGCTGGTGGTCGCTTCCAAGAGCGACACCGACCGCGACCGCCCCCGTCGCGATCGCAGATTTACAGATCGGTCGCACCGATAGTCGGCAAACGGTTCCATCGCGATCGGTTCGCCGAACAGTGCAGTGCGCGACCCGCGAGGACTAGACTTCGACGGTCCTCGGGTACCAACCGCGAGAGAGCCCTGTGAGTATATTTAAATAGTGTGCCTCGGCCGGTCAGAGCAAGCCGACTCTTGGTCCTCTTCGTCGTCGTCGTCGTCGTCGTCGTCGTCGTCTTCTTCTTCTTCGTCGTTGTCGTTGTCGTCGTCGTCGTCTTCTTCTTCTTCTTCTTCTTCTTCTTCTTCTTCTGCTGCTGCTTCTTCTTCTTCTCCGTCTCCGTCGTTGTCGTCTCCCTCGTTGCCTTCTTATTCCGCGGCTCTCGTCGTGTGTCATCATCCTCGGGTTTTCCTCGTTCGGAGTGCAACGTGATACCGAGAGCCGAGAAAAGAGACCCGCTCTCGGGGGTGGCGCGCGCGCGAGATTCTTTATCGACTTTCGACGATTTATTTCGAGATACGGAAACACACGGACGACCTCGTTCTCCCGAGAGGAGACCGAGTTTCCGAGACGACCCCGTCCCCGACGATTCTCGATCGGTGCCCGTTGCCCGGCGTCGCGGGAATCGAGGCCCGGCGACGATTTTTAACGGCATAGTGTATGTATCGCGTCGCGGGAAAGAGGAACCAGGGGAAATCGAACTTCGGAGCAACCTTCGAAGCCGGTCGGCCGACACCGAGATGAGCTGTCCGTCCGATCGACAGGATGACCGGGACGATTGAACCGTTGGTTTCGGCAGTCGAAGCCGATCGGGGCCGCGCGCGATAATCCCGAGGGGTACTTAGGTCTCCTTAGGTGTCCCTGTTGCATCCGTCGAGGGCGTCGAGGATGAAGAGGACGGCACTAGGTTGGAAGAGCAGACAGCCGAGAATCTGTCCGATGGAAGTCCCGATGTCTTGCCTCCGGTGGTACAACACCTCGTGAACAGCGTACGGTTTTTATTCGTGGACTGCTTCGTGAAGAAGGGACGAAGGACGAAGGTCTAGCGGGAAGATAGACGCGAGTCAGGGGAGGACGAGTAAGAGACAGTCGCGTTCCGGCCACCCTGAATGATTTGATCGGTGAGAAACAGGAGAGGTCCGAGACCGAGATAGTCTCCCCCAGGGAGATCGTTCGTTTCGCGGTGTCCGAGGCGCGTATTCGGTCGCGAGAGGCAGATCAGAGTGCCAGAGAAGAGTGTGCTTGTTCGGGGTGACCGAGGTGTCGACCTCTCACCCCCGATCAAACCAGCAAGCAGGTCGGATGATGTGGGCGTCTCTGCTTTTGGCCGGGATCTTAAGCGGCTGGTGGGGCGTACTGGCGCTCGCTGCGGCACCCCCCGCCAATCGGAACTCCCTCGAGGAGACGTCGACGAGGACCACCGGCGACTATCCGGCATCGATGAGCATCGCCGCCGTTCAAAAGACCCGCAATTATCGTCCGACGACTTGGAACTTCCTTACGAGCGCCATCGCCGAACCAAGGGACGAGTTCGCCCTCGCCTCGTCCACCGAGGCACCGGGCAAGGGGACACCGTCATCGGCAACATCGGAAACGGCAGAAAATGATCGGCGAGTCGAGTCCGTCTCGTGGACGTCCTCCACCGCGCTGGAACCGTTCGGGGACCAACGAACCGTGTCCAGGTCCAAGACCACCGAGGAGGAGCTGTTCGACGACTCGATCCGCGCCGCGTTCGTCGCCTCCTCGCTGCGAGCGAATCGCCGGCTGGAGGACGAGCCGATAGGACACCCGAGGACGGTCGAGTCCGGGATCTCGCAGCCACCTCGGCACTCCTCCACCCAGACGCCGTTCCTCTACGGCCCGGGGAGCGACGAGTCCTCGGTGGAGAGGCCCCGCGTGGTTCGCTCGACCAAGCAAAGACCAAAGAACCGCGCCAAGGCGGACTCGCCGCGGGAGCAGCGACGCCGATGCCGGAATAAGGGCTGCCGCGGGCAGAACTGGTGCCCCGACATGGACGTCGGGAACAGGGCGTACCTGGCGCCCACGGTCTTCGAGGGCAAGGCCAGGAGCATGTCCTCGGCGAGGAAGCCCGGCTCGAACTACGCGGTGACGTTCGAGGTGAAGCAGGTCTACAAGAGCCAGCCGGGGTTCCCGCCGCTCCAGAAGAACGACAGCGTGCGGCTGCACTTCCGCGACAAATCCGCGCCCGGCAAGTCGACCGTGTGCGGCTACGACACCGACGGCAATCAACAACAACAGCAGCAACAACAACAACAGCAGCAGCAGCAGCAACAACAACAACAACAACAGCAGCAGCAGCAGCAACAGCAACGCGATAATCAGAGTGGTGTGGTGCGAGCCAATATTAAGAGGGGTAAAGTGTATCTAGTGTTTGTGAACCGCGTGGGACCTAGAAACTTTACGATTCTCGGTGAGCCGGTGATTCGGAGCAAGAAGAACGAACAGGCGGTGCAGGCTGTCGTTCGGCCGGATTACGGTGAGTGATCATGTCTTCGATTGATTCGATACTGTCTACGTCTACAAACAAGCTTACTGGCTCTCGGCGATGATATACCTGTTGAGAACGTCCGGGAGCTGCTTCGCGGCTGCTTTAGTTCTCCGATCGCGCGATCGCGTCTTCGCGATCCTTTCGATCGTTTTCGTTTAACTCGCGCCAAGCCGATTCGATAACCGTCCGCGGTACGCTCGCAAAATTTTTTGGATCCGCTCGATCCGGCGAACTTCATTGTAGCCCAGAAAAAAATTTTCTGGTCCGCTCTTGGTCCGTAGCAGAACGATACCTCGTTAAAGGCACGCTTTCCGACGACGTCGTGATTGCACGACGCGATTCCGGTCCATATCCGCAGAAACACGAATCTGGAGTATCGTCTTCTGTACGGCCCTAATCATCGTTGATTNTGCCCCGACATGGACGTCGGGAACAGGGCGTACCTGGCGCCCACGGTCTTCGAGGGCAAGGCCAGGAGCATGTCCTCGGCGAGGAAGCCCGGCTCGAACTACGCGGTGACGTTCGAGGTGAAGCAGGTCTACAAGAGCCAGCCGGGGTTCCCGCCGCTCCAGAAGAACGACAGCGTGCGGCTGCACTTCCGCGACAAATCCGCGCCCGGCAAGTCGACCGTGTGCGGCTACGACACCGACGGCAATCAACAACAACAGCAGCAACAACAACAACAGCAGCAGCAGCAGCAACAACAACAACAACAACAGCAGCAGCAGCAGCAACAGCAACGCGATAATCAGAGTGGTGTGGTGCGAGCCAATATTAAGAGGGGTAAAGTGTATCTAGTGTTTGTGAACCGCGTGGGACCTAGAAACTTTACGATTCTCGGTGAGCCGGTGATTCGGAGCAAGAAGAACGAACAGGCGGTGCAGGCTGTCGTTCGGCCGGATTACGGTGAGTGATCATGTCTTCGATTGATTCGATACTGTCTACGTCTACAAACAAGCTTACTGGCTCTCGGCGATGATATACCTGTTGAGAACGTCCGGGAGCTGCTTCGCGGCTGCTTTAGTTCTCCGATCGCGCGATCGCGTCTTCGCGATCCTTTCGATCGTTTTCGTTTAACTCGCGCCAAGCCGATTCGATAACCGTCCGCGGTACGCTCGCAAAATTTTTTGGATCCGCTCGATCCGGCGAACTTCATTGTAGCCCAGAAAAAAATTTTCTGGTCCGCTCTTGGTCCGTAGCAGAACGATACCTCGTTAAAGGCACGCTTTCCGACGACGTCGTGATTGCACGACGCGATTCCGGTCCATATCCGCAGAAACACGAATCTGGAGTATCGTCTTCTGTACGGCCCTAATCATCGTTGATTATCAATCGGATCGCTCAAGAAAGCCTTAATTGATCATTAACTTGCCACAGACCACGAACCGATGAAGCCGGTTGACTACGTCGGAACACGATACTATCGTAATTACTCTATTGTTATTGCGATAAACTCGGTAATCCTATTGCGGGTGATTATCGAGTCACCCCCCGCGTCTTCGCCATTACCGCTGAAGCTCGGCAGAACACTGAAATTTCTAAGACACGCGATCCTCCGACACTCTTTCTCCGCCTTTCGTCGCGCGGCGACGACGAAATCGGAAGCTCGTTACCTCTGGAAATCGTCGTGGAAACGAACCGCGTTACTTCGTTAACGAGCTTTCTACGCGCGGTTGCTTTTAATACGAAGGAGGATGTCCGAATGCGATGACGACCGTTCCCCGATACTCGAACAGAAACCTAATCCCTGCGCGCGGGACGACTTTCAGACCCGACTCGGAAACAGCTGAAGCGATAAATCGCGGCACGCATCGACGCTATTACTTATTGCACCCGGGGACTCGTTTCTGTCTCTGTAAGAGCACGCCCACGCGCCGCGTAACCGAGGGCGCTCGCTCGCTCGCTCGCTCGCGCGCTTGTATTCAAAAGCGGCGGACAAGTTGAACGGCGTTCGATCTCTCGATCGGGAGGATCGTGCTCCTAGGAGCTTTCGAAGACGGTCCATCTCGCCGAGCTTTTTTGCTCGCCTCGCGGGCAAGAGGGGACTCGTCGCGCGGCGGCGATGACTGCTCGCCACCGCGCGACGACGACCTTCCTTACTTGATTTATCGCGCCAACGTCGCGCGCGCGCGGCCGCTCCACTCCGAGATATCGAAAGTAGCTCGTCACGGAACATCTGTGAACTGTTGACGAGCTGACGCTGCCTGCTCGCCTGCCTGCTCGCCTGCCTGCCTGCCTGCCTGCTCGCTCGCTTGCTTGCCTGACTGCTTGCTCGCCTGTCTGTGGCGGTACTCGCCGCGCACATGTGGCTCTTCGCGTGAAAAGAGTCTATCGAACCGACCGGTAGGCACGCAGTGTCTTCGATCGAGCGTACGACGAGGTAACCGTGTTGCGGAGCCAGCGGGACCGTAAACAGGACCTCCTCTCGAGGGCCCTGTACCTCTAACTCCCGCACCTCTGCTGTTTGCACCAGGTTCAGGGTGCAACGTTCCTGGTCCTCGTTGCTGCAAGCACCTTGTCTTTCGCGCTGAAACGTAATCTAATTCTGGGGATCGTTCGAGCAACGACAATGTTCTCAAATTGTCCTGAATGCTAGGTAAATCTCCGTCACGAGGGCACAAATCTTGTCGGCTAGGATAGTGGAGCCGATTAGTGTGGGGTGAATCAATCACCGTGCTTTCCATTTATCTTCGAGCATGCTTAACTTTATATTTAACGAACAAGACATACCTAATCCTTTTATTCTTTCATCTTGCTTACTATTTAATGAACAGATCGAATGTCTTATTCGATAAATGTAGAATTAATTATCCCTGATTAATATGTTTATTTTTTGACACAAAAATATAATATGTCTTATTCGATAAATATAAAGTTAATCGTGTCCGAAAAACAAATCAAAGGCACAGCAACCGCTGTGAAGTGACCGACTTTCCCCGAGGGGTGAAATTGTGAATTTGCGAGGGTGAATTGTTACCAGTCGCGATATGCACCGTATCGATCGCGCGTCGTCGATCCATCGCGTAGATTATCAAGGGAAAGGTAAGACCGGATCGAACGCGACGTCGCCGAAATAAAGGGTCGCGTTTTATTCCCGTCGCGAGAACAGCTCGCGAATATTTCGTGGGATTTTCCGGACAGCGTTCTCGCGCGAGCGTGCGAGCGAGCGGGCGAGCAGAGGCAGAGGCGAAGGCGAAGGCGAAGGCGAAGGCGGGTTTCGAGCGCGCAAAGCGGGCAAAGTTCTTTGATACTTCTTTGGAGTAGCTCGGCACGGAGCTTCGTTAGCGTCGTTTTCGTCCTCTACTTTCCCCGTCTCGTTTACGAGTTCGGAACTGTTGCGCTCGTTTGCTTTCCAAGCCTCCTCTATCCGAGAGCGGCGATGGGGCGCCGAGCCGCGCCGCGCCGCGCCACGCCAGTTTCTAGCCCCGTGCGTATTACACATCCGCCTTGACGCGTATCGAAAGTTTCCGCGACTTATCCCATTAACGAGCCCCCGAAGTATCTCGCCCCCGTGAAAAGCGGAGCCGAAGAGAGCGAGAGAGCGAAAGAGCGAGAGAGAGAGGAGAGCCACTCCAAAGGGTGGCTCGGTCTTTCCTTAAACCGATTTACTGTGTACGGTCCGAACGGCGCGAATAAATTGGATCTCCTCCCCTTGAACGACGCGGCGCCTTCTCAAGAGCAGCTCTCTCTCTCTCTCTCTCTCTCTCCATCTCTTTATGTAATAGCGTCGCATCGTTGTCGCGCGGATCGCGGGAAGAATTGCACAATGGCGCCTGGCACTCGTCTGGCCCTCCACGTCGTTATCGCGCGTTCCCTCGCTTATCGTTATCACCTGGCGAACGCATTATTTACCGGATATCGGAATTACTGTAGCTATCTGATCCTCGTAACTGCTGTGATGTCACCGTGGATTCGTGGATTCGCGGATTCCGTCATCCTACCATGGGAAATCCCTTTCTTTCTGGAACGAAGTGCCCCACCGGTGTCTCACCGTCGCCCCTGTCACCCCATGGGAAAAGGATTCCAGGGGTTAGGGCGCGAACAGAGGCGCAAAAGCGGCGCGGAACGCGTCTGGTGTCCAGCGGCGAGACGCGACGCGACGCGACGGTTCGTTGATCCGCGATCCGCAAAAGCGGGTCCGTGCCGGCCCTTCTTCCAGTTGTCGGTGACTAAGCCAGACGGAGAGGGGGGCAGGGAACCCGGGACGTCAATTATAAGGCCTTAATCGGAAACCCGTCCTTACTTCTGTTGGCTTACACTCGGCCATGCCACCCGAGCGAGACAACGGCCGACGAGAAACGGAATATCGAGAGCGCATAGACGCGTCTCTGATCCGACGTCTCTCCGCCGACGGCCTTCTCGTTCTTCTTCATAGAAACCCTCCCCTGATTCTATATAGATCATCCGTTTAATTCGCGATTTTCTATCGGGAAGCCGCAGACGCGGTGTTTGCAGCACGTACTTCCAATTTGTAGCCGTTTGGTTCGCAGCCAACTAGTTAAGATTCGGAAATTCTATGTAAAATTACTGTACAGAGCTGTACAGTAGGGACGTCCTAATTACATCGAGCAGCATTAAACATATGTTAAACATACGTAACGATCAACCAAACACGCGTTCTGTCCAGCTCGGCACAGTTTGAATCATCCTGTTATTCTTGTGTCAGCGTGTGTTTGTATCAGGGCATTTATTCAATGATTTTGTGCGCAAGATTTCTTAAGTTGCAAAAATAATTTCGTTTTTTTGTAAGCTGTTTATTTGGAAAAGCGAAATTACTTTTGGAACAACAGAATAATTGCAATAATTTTCGAACAAAACACGTGGAACCGGTCGCTTTGATCGGCAAGGTAGCTTCGGTGTAAAGCGGAGGGTCTGCTCGTGTGAAAAGGTGCAGCTACGCCGAGTTCACAGCGATTTTTAAGATTCGATAACGTTGCTTCGAAGTGCCGCGCCGAGCCGGGGATGAGCAACAACTGCAAAAGCATGGGTGTCTAATCGAACGAGTGTTCTTCAGTTCAGCCCGGAGCGCTTGGAAAGTTTGGGAAACTGTACTCGATGGATCCATAACGAAGAATCCGGTTATCGCGCGAAAGGGAGCCGCAACGGCCGCGAAAAATGCGAAAAGACGAGGAAATTATGCAGTCGGCGAGTCGCATCGGCCGCGGACCACCAAAACAGTCGGTGCGCCGCGCCGGCGTGGCGCCCCGGGGAGCGAGCTCTCCCTGGCCGCAAATCCATCGAGAGCCATTAATGAATTCGCGGATCTTGAGTTGGCGAACAATTCTCCGGTGGTAATTGCAGCGCGAACCGAAAGGTTCCGCGGCGATGGAGTTGCGTGGAACTCGAAACAATTCGCGGTTGCGAGCCGGTCGTAAGAACGGGAACGGGAACAACGCGATAAGCGAGCAGCGTGTGCAGGTATCTCGGGTTTACTTCGAAACGGTTTAGTCATCGGAGAATCGGTATCTCGGCGCATCATTGTTACGTTAGGCGGTCGTCGCCGCCGGATATTACCGCTCGCGATTTCCTCGATAACGAGAAGCAATCGCGGATCTCTTTCGAGAAAGAAAGAAAGAGTTGTATATATAGAGAGAGAGAGGGAGAGGGAAAGGGAGAGGGAAGAGATAACAGGACGATCGTTTTTCGAGAGAGCGATTCATTCCGCGCGCGATTGTAAACGCTCTCGCGTTTCGCGGAAACTCGTTCCGGGGTTATTCTTGGATGCACCGTGTGCACTTGCACCGCGTGGTGCAACCACGAGAGTCCGGCGCCTGCGATATCTGTGCACGCGATGATAATATCGCATTATCAAGCCTCGAACTAGAGTCTTCTGTGCCGCGATCCGCCGCTGCGACGAGAGAAGGGTTGGGCGAAAGCGTGTACTCTCGCGGGTTCGCGAGTTATTT